TGTCAATTTAGACCAGGAAGAGCTGTATATATTAGTGGACAACAAGGTAAGCCCAAATAAAGAGCCATTTCACAAAGATAGGTCCTTTAAGCCCACAACCAATATTACCAATTTACCATCGGCCGTGCACACCAAATTACCCCAATCATAAATAAAAACCTCGAAGCTGCTGCCATGTCTATAATGATATGTTCAAATGGCGTATATATATACATTCTGATAACATATGGCATATATTTATCAAATCATCATTGACTGCAACAATGTAACTGAGTGGTTTGCGCTATTATTTACTGTGGATGTATCATAATTTGAATGCAGATATAATTAAACATGTGCATTGCATGAATCATAGCTAGATAGCAAAACAGTCATTATGTAGAACTGCATGTATATGTGTAAATATTGCATTGAATATTTGAGGCTAGATTCAAGAAGATGACAAGGATTTGGTCTTCACCTATGAATATTCTAAGAAGCAACATCTCTGATCTTGACGTCATCAAATCGGCCATATCCAAGTATTTTTAAGTATTAACAATCAATTGATTTATGGCATTTGCATGTAATTTCACGATGGCAAATAATCACAATCAATCGTTTTGGATGAAAATGGCTTTATAAATGAAATGGCTAAACGACTATCCCGCGACGAAGACAAGAATGGGTTTCCCGCGATAAGGAGGTCGACGTCTGTCTTCAAGCGGACGAGTTCATGTTCTTCTCGACCCTATATATAGAACTATAGAAGGCAATTTCAGTTAGTATTGACCTTTAAATTTTAAACTTCTCATCATTATTTTCATGTTTAAAACATTTAGTAAAAATAAATAAATTAAGAAGAAACCAAAGTCACCTGAGAGCAACCCAATGGTAACACTATAAGGGGGGAGGGGTCTTAATGATTAAATATTAATATTTTGTATACTTTATGTAGTTAAGATACTTTGTAAGATTTTATTGTTTTTATTAAGCATACAATGAAGATACTTTTTGATAGGTGTCTTAAAAAAAGAAAAAAAAATTTAATAAATTGATGTAAAAACTTATTTTAATTTTTTTGTAAATATAGTATATTTTCATAAAAATAATACATAGAACATATAAACTATAAAAGTACAATTCAGAAAGTGGAAAACTCGCTTAATTGTAATCTTCACTTCCGCAATATCGGTAGAGTACATCATATCTACTTTCTGAAGTTTCTTCACCGTGTTTGAAATCTGATAAATCCATTAGATTGTATCCATCTCGCTCGTCTTTTACTATCATATTATGCAATATGATACATGCTCTCATAATTTTTCCTATACCCGAAAGATCCCAAAAAGGATTGGGTTTTTAACAATTTTAAACCGAGCTTGCAAGACTCCAAAAGCACGCTCGACATCTTTTCTGACAGATTCTTGATGTGTAGCAAATAATGATTCTTTCGAACTCTGTGGAAGTGAAATAGATTGGATAAAGGTTGCCTAATTCGGATAAATACCATCTGTGAGATAGTACGCCAAATTATACTTGTGTCCGTTGACAAAGTAATTCACTTTTGGAGCCTTTCCTTGTAATACATCATCAAAAACTAGTGAGCGATCAAGAACATTAATATCGTTTAAGGTACCTGGAGGTCCAAAAAACGCGTGTCATATCCAGAGATCTTGTGAAGCTACAACCTCTAAAACGATTGTTGGTTTCCCAGATCCACGTGCACATTGCCCTTTTCCAAGCGGTGGGGGAATTCTTCCACTCCCAATGCATACAGTCGATGCTTCCTATCATTCTGGGAAATCCGCATGTCTCTCCGATATACAGTAGTCGTTGAAGATCTTCTGATGTGGGTCTTCGTAGGTACTCATTCCCGAACACATATTATTCCTTTGACGAAATTCTTCAAGCATGAAATCGTAGTACTTTCTCCAAAACCGAGGTATTCGTCAACCGAATCAGTCGGACACCCATATGCCAGCATACAAATTGCTGCTGTACACTTCTGTAGTGCTGAAAAACCGAACCTTCCGGTAGCATCCCTTTTTTGCTGAAAGAATGGAAGAGCATTCGAGAGTCCATTAACAATACGCATGAACAAGGGTTCGTTCATTCTGAAACGGCGTCGAAATAATTGACTCGGTTATTTTGCATCTTCGCTAAAATAATCGTTCCATAACTTGATGTGGCCTTCTTCGCGATTCCTTTCAATGTAGGCTCTTTTTTTCTTTGATTTGGTTGGCTTTTGACGATCAACAAAGAGATTTTCAGATAATTTATCGATAGCTTGACTATACTATTCCTCATATATTTGATTAAATTTTTCTTCGAACATTTGATCAAATTTTTCTTCATATGGATAATTAGAAGAAAAAGCCATTTGAGAATATGGAAAAAAGAAAAGAATGAATAATTTCTTATAACGAGAAAAAGAGGAATGGTTTTAGAGATGGAAAACGAAAATGGATGTAGAAATATGTTGGTTTTGCATTTCATTTATATAGACAAAGAGTGGATGTTGTTTGTGGTCATACATTTACCAAAAATATATGGTACAAAATAAAAGTGCTACAAAACAACAAAACGAAGACTTGAAAGGTCAAATGTCAAATTACATGCTTGAAAGATCAAATGTCAAATTACATGCTTGAAAGGTCGAATTACTAGTGCTATAAGAATAGAAAACAAATTCTTTGCCAACATGTGTTTTTGAATTTATATTGCCGACATCTGATTATGAATTCATATTGCCTCTTCATTCATCTAATTAGACAGCCACAATGTTCTTGTCTTTTTCAAAACTGCAAAGAAGCAGAGATTTAAAGTTAGTAAAAAATTAAACTTAAACTGAAACTTATACTTAAATTTAAACCCACTAAACAAGAAAAGTAAAGGACGATAATAAGCTTTCAATTACACCACTAAACAAACCAAGAAACTTTAAGCAAGCCAATTTCAAACAAAAGAAACCAAAACGCATAACGCATAAGTGCTCAATGATAATGACAGAAGCAAACCTTCTCTATTTATTCTTGAAGATAACTGTATTCCCTCAAGTGCTGCCCGAGAAGCAAACCTTCTCTCTTCCTTGCCCGAGTCTAAAACAGAAACACAAAAAGCAGATCTCATAATATGTACCAATCTCATTTCAATGAAATACCAATCTCAATAACTAAAACTGAAACTTAAATTTCACTTCAATCAAATACTGATCTCATTTCATAAACTTAAACTTAAACTTAAACTGAAACTTCTACTAAATCAAATACCAATATCATTTCATAAGCATTATATTTCATTTCATAAACTTAATATCCTACAAGAGTTTCAGGAATTCAAGACTTTCACAGCATGTCCTGAATTAGCTTATTCCTTAGAGCTATTTCTATATCCGAAAGTGGCTCTGTTTTGCCAAGGAGATTTTCAAGCAATTTTTTATCTGAAAGCTTATCCTTCATGGCTAATTCCTTCTGCCTCATCTCCCATACGGTCTGAAACTCTAACAGTCACTTGCTTTGTTCTTCCACAGAGGCTGTCTTGGTCACTGCCCTCTTAGCTTTCGCTTTTGCTGCTTTAACACCTGGAGGTCATCATCTTCAATGTTAACTGACTGAGAGCTACCAGATTATGCTGAACCATCCTCACATTTCCTTCTTTTTGAACTACCTTCACCTACACCTTTACTACACAAGTTGGCACACCATTTCTGGTCATAACGAAGCTCCTTCCATGCGTGCTCAAGGATGAATTTCGCCTTGTTGTCGTTGTGGAAGATCTGATGAGCCTGCTTGAGAACATCATCATCATTCTGCCCACTTGTCTTATGTTTTTTTGCAGCCTCAAATGCTCCACGGAACTTGGAGACAAGCTCGTTGATCTTCCTCCACCTCTGCTTACACTTATTGTGATCTCTTTTCTCAGCAGATGAAACCTTAGGACTAGCATTATATAATGCTGCTATGCGTGTCCAAAATGCACCACTTCTCTGCTCATTTGACACTACATCATCCTTGCTGGTGTTAAGCCAAGCGCTAATGAGCACTAAATCATCTGTGGGACTCCATCTCTTCCTCTCTTTACGCTCCTCAGCTGTCCCTAAACCCTCTAGTGTTGGTTCATCAGAACACTGACTACTAAACAAGGGAAATTCTGATGACCCAAGAGGTCTAGTTTCAGAAGAAATCTCATAAGAAAATGGGTGAGGGTGGTGACTATCCTGTTGACTATAAAATTTTGGGATCGACAATTACTAGAATCCATAACCTAACTTTCTGTTTGAAAGAGAAGAAGAACGGTTTTCAAACTGAAGTGAAAGAGAAGAAGTTGTTGAAAGATAATAAGTAGGTGAAAGAGAAGAAGTTGTTAATCTATAGGAGTAATGGTTTCTAGTTTAAGCAGAGCACAAGTAGTTGTGCTCTTTGTATTAAGCATTCAATCCATGCATTTATTTATAGATACAAATCTAATCACAGTTTAAACTGAACAACCAAAATCAACAATTAATGTTTTAGCATCAAAGGTATTTGATTTCTATGTAAAGCATTCAATCCATGCATTCTGTTAAGTTTTCTTGTTATAATTTTGCTAGAAATCAGCACTGGAAATTCTATTTTATTAAATTTGTGAAACTGTCTTATATGAGATTTCTATTGTGTATGAGCAAGCAAGCATTAGTCTCAGATTACGGTTTTTTAAAGTTTAATGGCTGATAGTTGATTTAAAGTTTGATGGGAGAAGGTATTTAGTTTACCAGTTAAAGACTTGAACGTTGATGCCTTGGAACGTTTGGCTCAATATCTTCTGAGCAAGAAACACAGGAATCTGAAAGAAGCTTTTTCTTTCTCAGATTTGATATTGAGTAGACAGAATCAAACGCAAAGTTTTACAGAATCAAATACAGAAAACTTGAGGTCAAGACTGTTCTTGAAAAGATGATATAAATAAGAATATATATATGAGAAATTGCGGAGGTCCTGTAAATGACACTTGGGGTGACATTTTTCGGGAAGCTGAATTAATCAGTGCTTGCTGCCGAAGGATCTTGTCTTCTGCTTCCATGTCAGAGACCTTTTCCTTGCGCGTAAATGATAAAGAGTAAGTTAGTCACTGTTGCGAATGAAAACATACAACAAAGGAAAGATAAGATTTGTTAACCTTTGCATAGTTGTCTGTCCAGCATCAAAGCTCTTGCTTGCAAAGGATATAAGAATAGAAGGATTCTCATTCCCAGGGACCTATATTTAAGAATGTTGCTTGTTATACTACGGCTCAAGATCAGACCACGACATGAACTAACTAAAGAACCACATAGTCTACCTTAAACTGAGAAAATGAAGCAGCATATGCTTCGAGGGCCTGTCTCCGCTGTTGATTTACAGAGAAAAGCTGCATATTCCCTTTTACCAATTGTGGTCTTTACAGAAGTTTGTCAACAAAAGATGCAGTCAAGATCATATACAGCATCTTTTGTACGAAAAAGCTCACGATTTTTGACTATCCTTTCTCTTAGTCGCTCCAATTTGTCGGCCTTTCACATCCACACAAAACAAAATTAGAAGGAATGAAACAGAATCACAGAGACCTCAGCATCAGGATACCATATACACAAAGACTTACAGCATCAGGCCGGTTTTCTTCTTTCCCAAATACTGATTTGATTGCTGAAGTAGCCGAGGTTATTTTCTGCCTTAGCTGAAGATCCAGAAAGAGGTATTTAACAAAAGACAAAATCTCACAAACGTGTAGGAGAAATGATTTATCGACAATGTTCCACCTTCAAGATTTTACCAATGGTCGCGTCAAGGAAGTCAGGTAAGGAGAGTAGCCTTAGCGTATGACGCTGCAAGTAGCAACCAAATTTTGTCTTTTAACAGTAACTTTTGCTATTAAAGAAAAGAAGAGGCAAAGATTTCGGTAAAGGTTGCTCACCGTTGGTGCGGTATCAAACACGATTCTGGTGAACATGTTATACTCCGGTGATTCCAAAAATTGAATGACCTATGAAACACCCTTGACTATCATCAGCAAGAGACAAAAGCAATACGAAAAGAAACAAAGGATCAGAGATAGAATTACCTTAGAAATGGCAATGGCTTCATCCAATCCAGGAGGTGGTGTGTCGAGCAACTCTCCAAGTTTAAGTTCCCCCAACTTTATCAACCAAAACCAAAAACGAATCAGTATCAGAAAGATTAAAAACACTGAAGCTCACACGACCACACAGAGGAGTACAATATGATTGATTATCCATTCAATACACATTTCAGCAATGAGATTCCACCAGAAAAGTACACAAGAAGCTACAACATACCTGTTCTACAAGCATTCCAAGTCCTATACCATCCATAAAATCTTTCATCCCAGTTCCTCCATTCATCTGCGACGCACTGCAAAACTATTCCCTAGCCTTCTCTGGGTTTATCTCAGATGTGTAGCTATAAAAGGATCAACACCATAGAAACCATAAAATGCCCCCAAACATAACTACAAAACAGAACATCGGTTTTCTACATACTTCTAGAGCAAATAAAGGAGACTCAGGTCCTTCAACAGGCACAAGCATTCCTCCAGTCAAGTCCTATAAATCAACAAAAGCAACAAAGACACACCAATCATCTATATATTTTTTATCAAACAAAAACAAAAGATTCACTTTTTTTTTGTTTTTATAGAATTTCCTCATTTACCTGAGCAAAAAAATCGCTTAAAGAATGTGCTGGATCTGTGGACACGACAAGAGTTGGGTGTCTGTTGTTGGCGAATATCACAGCTAAAGAAGCAGCACAACTGGTTTTGCCCACTCCTCCTTTCCCTCTGAGCATGTAATACTTCCGTTTTGTGCCGGAGACCATCTCATCGAATTCCGACGCTGTCTCCGTTGGGCTAGCCACTGATTTCACTGAATCCACAAATCAAAAGACAACTGTTCAATCCCTCCAACACTTAATTCCATGTTTCAATCAGGAAAAAAGGGAAACTTTGGATAATTCGAACCTTGGAGCGAGTTTCTCTGGTGATTCTGCTACTTGACGGAGAGAGAAAGAATCGCCGGCGAGACAACTGAGATAGTTGTTCGAGGCGAGAAAGAGATGAAATCATTTCCCGAGACGAGAGTTGTTGGCGAGAATCGGGATTTGCATATAGGAGAAGACGATAACAGAGAGGAAGAAGAATGATCTTCTGACTTCCTCGGAGAAATGACGAAGAAGAACGTAGAAGGGAGATGCACACTGTTGGGAGATGCGCACTAATTAATCGCAGATTTCACTCTGTTTACCAAATCCAAAGATCGTGGATTCGATCGCATGCAAAAGAGGAAGACGAAGACGAAGAGAGAGACAGAAAAAAGATCTGAGAATTTTTTTTTCATTTTATTATTTTGTTTTAACCATCCACTCATAGTAAAACATGTTACCGTTCTTAAATAAAAAAAGATCCAATTTTGAATCCCAGTCTTAGTATTAAAACACTAATTTTCTTTATTTTATTTATTTTTAATCTTTTTTTAGATCTTTTGGTGTGTACATTGGGGTTGGTCTGATGGTAAATATATTAGTTAATTAATTAAAGAATGGTCCCAAACAAGATAACAACTTTTTTTTGTTCTAAGCTAAGATTTTCCGGCGACCTCTTGAATCAAAACGGACGGATCAGAGTCATGGTGAGGCGTATAAGCTTGGTTGAAAAGTTCTTAATTATATTATTTGGGACCATTCTTTATTATTACATCTCTGGTCAACACCAAACCTTGCGTTCACCACATTCTGCATATCCTATTCAAGCTCCAGTGGTTTCTTTCCCCCGTTCCTGTAAGACTCTTAAAATAAAATTAGGCTGAAGAAGACACTGAAACTTCACTATTCACAGTAAATTCATGCAAAACAAATTCCACTTATTCTTCTAAATAATCATATACTAATTTAAAAGCGAAATATCCCACTATTAAATCACATAAGAACAGATATATCTCTTTACTAGGCCACACTAGTATATGGTTCCGATGCTCGGTACTATTGTCTTATAGCCCATTACTTATTTTTTTCAGATAGTCGTTTGATTGATGTATAAGTGTACAAGCTAATTCAATCAACGAAAAGATATTCTTATCGTGACTAGTCTAAGCGAAGGCTTGTTCTTTGGAGACATCCAAAAAAGTTGGCCTTTTGACTCAACATTACTAATACTGGAAAATTAAAAAAAAACATGTTTAACTTGATGTTCATGCACTTGGTTATATACTTCTAGCCGCCCAATTTGGGTTTGGCTTACTACGACCTAATTTTAGATTTATCAGTCAGTCAACGAAGTGGATGCATGCAGTGTTTTCAATATTCGATCTTTCTATTAAAATTGACTGTAGTTCAATAAAAATAAGTTTAAGGGAGTGTATTCAATTTAACATTTAAATAGATTTAGAAGCATTTGAGTTTTTATGAATTTTTAAATGATTTGGTTGAATTATAGAAATTGTAATGATTTGATATCAAAATTCTATCAAACTCCACATAAAATCATGAGATTTAGATTCTTATATTTTTAACTAGGAAACTCCACCAAAACATCTTAAAATAACTCAAAAATTCTTAAAATCCATCACTTAAATTATTTCCAATAACAATGAATTTGAATGTATATTTTCAAATCATTAGTTCAATAACACCAAATTTTAAACAATTTTTTAAAATTTATGTTTCAATAATAGAAGGATTGTGATTTTAATATAAATCATTCTAAATTTTACTTTCAATACACACTCCTAAAATAGTGGGTTTGACTTGGGGATATGCATTGCGAATTCCAAGGAATATCCGGAAACCTTGAATTATGCTTATCTTTAGAGGGACCCCTATGTATTAGCTTTGAAAAAAACCGAATCCACTTCCGTCAAGTTGAATGTTGCTTCTTTTATTTTTTTCAATAAACTTATGGGCATTTCGTTTACCGTTTCTTCAGAATCATATCAACTGGTGATATTACTTGTTCGTTATATATTTCTCTTTAAACGCAATGCTTTTTTTTTATCTCCATGTCAGAAAAAGATTTATTCGCAGAACAAAACAAGTACATGTTTATACTCTAATTAACACAATAATGTTTTGAGCTAATATGACTCAATTTCTGTTTCATTAATTATCATAAAATGTAATCGTGTAATTATTTAATGAAGAAATCATTGATAACAACATTACTTCATTTCATCTGTTTTAAAATAAATGTCTTCTAAAATTTTATTTTTGTTTCATAAAACGTATCATTTTACATTTTCAATGCATAATCTTAAATAAATATCTAATATTAATTTTAAATTTTTATTATTATTTTAATTAAAAAATATTATTTTAATTAAAAAATATTATTTTATATATAAACAAAGACAAACAAAATTTTTAATTATTTTCTTAATTTGCACAAGGAAGAGGAAGAGAGTATTATGTAACATGCCAGAAACAAAAAATTAAGTTGCGAAGCAAAGAGATCATAACTATTTTTTTCTGGTCCTATTTCTGAATTTCCACATCTCTTAAATACACCCCTAAAATTAAGTGATCTATTTTTGTTACGTAAGTTTTTTTCTACGTAGTATGTTATTTAATTTTTGTGCAACGTAAATGTGTTATTTAATAGAAGAGCAACTTGTGTGGTAAGAGTAGGGCACAAGATTTAAGATAGAGAGATCACAAAACTAGTTTTAAAACGACTTGGAAATAACAATATTATGCGTTAGTACCAAGCGAAGGTTGAAGACTCTATAGTGTGTAGGATACAGAAGAATCATTGATATCTTCTTTGTTGTTACAACAGAAACAATTCTAAGCAGAAAGTATAAACTACGATAAAAGGAGCCGAAAGAGAGGAAGGAAAAAAGAAAATAAAAATCGGAGTATGTGATTGGTTCATGGTACCGAAACCAAAAGAAGAAAAAGAAGTCGCAAGTCGCAAGGTCTTTATCCATTTATACAGAAAATAAATACTATTATTATATAGTATCGAGGAAGATATTTGCAGAAGAATAACATAAATAATTTTTCAAGAAAATCTAAGAAACGAGTAAATAAATGGATGGAAGGGGAAATTGGTGGAAAGAACATGCGAACATGAGACGGTGACGGAGTAAGGATATAATTACGTCTTGAGTTTCGTGCGTTAGTCATCGTCAGGTTCCGTTAATAAACTATGTCTGTTACCTTTTATGGAGTAGATTATTACTAAAATATTGAAAAAAATCCTGATATTTGTTTTTAAAAATATTATTTATAACTTTATAAAATTGAAAACTTAAGAGCCGCAACTTGCGAAAGTCTGTTACTCTGTTAAGAATCGAAGACTTCACTCAGTCTGATTCCGACAATAAAGAAAGTAAAGAAAAAAACTTCACTGTGAAGCACTTCTTCGATGTTTCTTTTATTTATTAATTAATGCTTTATGTGTTGTAGAGTAAGAAAGAGGTGCGCCGCAATTTATTTCATTACAATTTTACAACCTTTTAATAAAAAACAATACAAGTAGTAATTTGGTAAAACTATAGACTATAGTATGTTATTGTTTTGGTTTGTTTCTTTTAATTTTAAATGAAATTTGCTTTGGATCCTTTAGTTCGATTCATGTTTGAACGGAACCTAGTCATGACACTATGAATATGTACATTCTTCGATCCAAAACTCTTTAAGGTTAATTTTAATTTACTATAACAGAAATTTATAACAATATCCTCAATTTTAGTATAAATATTTATTATATAGAAATTTGGTTATGAACCATTGAGTTAGATAGTTTACTAAATTATTAAAACTATAATAGATTCAAGTAGTAGACATAGATCATAAAGTTAAACCATTGTCATTATAAACTAATTAATAAACAGTATTCCTGTTATCAACCCAATTTTTAGCTTAACCGATGTATTATCATATGGTCATTCAAAAACGTATGTCAGCAAGATCCTGAATTCAAGTATCGATATCGGGAAAAAGACATATTCTGCTTTAATTCTCGGCCTGAAGAAATTATAGGCGTAGATTCGAAACTTTTTGGTATGTCATTGTTAATGCCTAATGTTTATAACAATATCTTAACGTATTATTATACCCATCATTGTAACAAAAACGTACTTGTAATAAGATTTTTAGAACATGAACGTTATATGAATTAGATACGAAAATTTATATAAACAATAAACGAAAAGGTCTATTATGAAAGTATATATGTATGTAAAAAGCAATGATAAGAGTATTACTTTTCTATGATTCTCATGCAATCATGCCCACTACGACTTAAACTTGGCTGGCCAAAGCAAGTTGATATGAAAACTTCTATATCAAGCATTTTTATTACGATATCTCGTGTAGTTTGTGACTGTTAAAATATTAGCAAGAAGAAAAATGATTGGGAAGAGTTGTCGGATAAAGTCATATATCGAAGCATCAAAATCTGTTGAATTGCTATTGGAATTAGTAAAAGACAATAATATATTAGAAGTTTTAACAAATAATCCACATATTGGAAAACGGTGCTTTTCAAAAATAAAGGCAAAAATACGAGGAGAAAAATGTTAAAACGTTACCAAATGGAGCTTGGATTAACAAAAAATAAACATTACAATCCCAACTTGCATTTTAATAATCTTATACACTATCAAAAAGAAGATCAAACTATATATGTTCTGATATACTAATATCCGATCGTCATAGATTGGCTAATTAATTGACGGTTAAGATTTAAGTAAAGATTAACCATAAATTCTCTCGATCTCAAATATCGCAAAACCAAAGTCGTACGATGATATTTATTATTTCCCAATTTAAGAAATATTTTGTCATTTAATTATATTATCAGCAGCCCAAGTCGAAAAAATCAAATCATCACGTGCATTTACTACTCAAAACTTTCGCAAATAAATATTACTATTAAAAAAGTAATAAAAATTCGAGTATATAACGAAGAAGTTGCGCCACAGGGCACAATTAACAGTCACGAGCTACGTGCTCTGTATCTTCCAAACACTTCAAATCATATTTTTCCAATTCTGAATCTATAAAAAGGAAATCTTTTATCCTCAATCAAAGTTCGTGTCTATAAAAAGGAAACCTTTCTTCACAAATCCTCAGAAACCCAATCAAATTCAGATAATATTTTTTCTTCGCATAGTTCTCTGTTGCAATGGAGTGGGTTCGTGGAGAAACAATCGGATACGGAACCTTTTCCACTGTCAGTAAAGCGACGCCGTCGAATATCGGTGAGTTTCCGGCTCTTATGGCCGTGAAGTCGGCGGACTCTTACGGCGCCGCCGCAATCGCGAACGAGAAATCGGTGTTGGATTCACTCGGCGATTGCCCTGAGATCGTACGTTGTTTCGGCGAGGATCAAACGGTGGAGAAAGGCGAGAAGTTGCACAACTTGCTGTTGGAGTACGCGTCGAGAGGAAGCTTAGCGACTCAGATGAAGAAACTAAACGGTGAGGGTTTACCGGAATCCACCGTGCGCCGCCACACAGGATCCGTGCTCCGAGGTTTACGTCACATCCACTCGAGCGGGTTCGCTCACTGCGATATAAAACTCGGGAATATTCTGTTATTCGACGACGGCGCCGTCAAGATTGCGGATTTCGGTTTGGCGAGGAGGATCAACGGAGATTTAACGTCGTTGAAAGATGGCGTGGAGATTAGAGGAACGCCGTTATATATGGCGCCGGAATCCGTTAACGAGAGCGAGTACGGAGCAGCGGCTGACGTGTGGGCGTTAGGATGCGCCGTAGTTGAGATGTGTAGCGGCAAAACGGCATGGAGTCTTAAAGAAGGGTCGAACTTCATGTCGCTTTTGATACGCATCGGTGTTGGCGACGAGTTGCCGAAGATTCCAGAGGAGTTGTCGGAAGAAGGAAAAGACTTCTTGTCGAAGTGTTTCGTGAAAGATCCCGAGAAAAGATGGACGGCTGAGATGCTTTTAAACCATTCCTTCGTAGCCGTTGATTGCGAAGATGAGGATCAACGAGCAAGATTCGTTATGAAGGTGATGACGGCAGAAGAAGAGTTATCAACGTCTCCGAGATGCCCTTTCGGATTTCCCGATTGGGAATCTACCTCATCCGATTCGCACACGCAATATCAACCGTTGGATTCTCCGATGGAGAGATTTGAGAGTCTAGTTAGTGCATCGAACCCTGATTGGTCTGTCGCCGAGGGCTGGGTCACCGTACGGTGACGGGAGTGTAGAGAAACAGAGGAAAAACAGAGTTGTTGGCAAAGGCTAGGGATTTTTTTTAACACCTAGTTTAGCTCAAGATTCAACGATTCTTATTCATATTCTTTACGAGTAATCTGTTTGTTTATATGAACAATTCGTTGTATTCTTCGATATCATTGATTGTATTTTTCGTATTCTATCAAAATTTCGAGTAATCAATAGCTCGTTAATACACATAAAAGTGATCAGAATATAACAAAATCGTTCCTTAACATTATCCAAAACCAAAACCAAAATCAATAGCTCGTTTATACAGTTAATGAACGATTTTGTTATAATCTCTCAAGCAATCTAATCACGCATCCTAAAATTCAACATCGGTAAGTAGGTTTATTAGTACATCAGACGATAAGGTTGCATGGACATCAATACTTCCTTCTTCAACTCCAGTAAAAAACACGAGTATACCACCGGTAACATTACTCAGTCCTGACCGGGCTGCGACCGGTTTACCCCAACCAAGGAGAGCTTGCGGCTGCCACAAAGCCACTCATGACTCACCGTTCTACTTCCAACACCATACTTTGAGATTTTTACATTTCTTGCCTAATTATCTGCACAAGTTCTATACTGTTCATCGGTTAGAGACCCCACCATTTTACTTACTTGCAGAGCAGCCCAACCAAGCACATGATCAACCAGATCTCCCACGGTTGTTGTAGCTATACCGATATTGGTTACATTCCCAAAACACTCTTTCTCAGGCGGAGGGTTTAGCCTCTGCCTAAAATCTGCCGCCACTATGCAAGAAGTCTCTCTTGCTCGGTTTAGGCCACTGTGTGGGATAATTGATTTCCATAGATGCGCAGTAACCGCTTGAAAAGATGAGATTTTCATGTCACTTAAGCCATTTTCTCCGTTAGTTTTAGCTTTGAGATCTAACATTTTCTTCTTTGTAAAGTGAAAAACTCTCTCTTTCATCCAAGTTTCAGGATTTGCTGGCGCTGTCTTTGTCTCTGTCTCTGTCTCCAAAACCGGAATATGAATCGGGAAATCGATCCCTTCAAGGAACCAACCTGAAAGATCAAGAGGATGAAGTCCTGAACAAGAACCGTTCAAGAAAATCTTTGACCAATCATGGAAGAAATTTCACATCGCAGAGCCATCGGCGACCAACTGGTTATAGTGGAAACCAATGAAGACTCCGTCTTTCATCTCGGTGACTTGTATAGCAAGCAAGGGCTCAGAGACGCCTTCGATGCTTTTGACACCGTTCATGGGGAAAAACTCCCTTATAAAACTTGGAACAGAGCCATCTGGCTGAAGAAGATCGCTCACGGAGACTGATTCGGCAATGGCGTGGACAAATCTAGCACCGGAGCTGTTGTCGCAGTCTATGAAAAACGACACCGTTTTTTGTCTTCGTGATTCTCTTTTACTGTATTTGTTTACAGACAAAAAAAGTCATTTAAAGCCTCAATTTTCAAATTTCGGCCATTTAAAGCATAGACTATCTCTAGAGCAATTCAAAGAACAGAGTTCTTTTTTGACTTTTTTTTAAATCCCAAACTTTCATTGACCGAGCCAATTTAGGCATACCGTTAACTCAACTAACAGCTCTATTAGACGGGATTAAGCACCGTTTAAACTCGTCGTTAATGTCCAAAACGACGTCGTTCTTATACACAAAAACTCCCAAATTGAAAAATCAAATCCCTAGTTTTCAAAAATCTTATTTCATCTCGATTAGCTTCTCCTCTCTCGATTCTCTTCTCCCTCGATTCTCCTTTCTCTCGATCCTTGACTTCTTCTATCTCTCTCGATTTTCTCTTTTTCCCAACCGATTTCTTTCAATGAATCCTAACTTGGACCGTGGCATTCCTTCAAAATGTGTGTGTGGATTGGATGCAAACATAATCACATCGAAGACACAAGAAAATCCAGGACGACATTTCTTTCGATGCATAAGCAAGAGAGATGTTAAAAATCGTACAAACACAAGAGATGTAAGATTTTGAATTTTATATATAGCTAAAATTGTTTTGAATTTTCGAAATTTTCTGGAGTTTGATGTTTAGGATGATGAAAGAAATCATTTGAATTATAGGAGCATTTGTTCAAGTGGGTGGAGGAAGCTGTTTTTGAAGAAGTTGAAGACAGTTTACTGAAGCTAGGAAGAACTGAAACCGAGATTTGCAATGTCAAAGCCGAGCTTGAAGAGTTGAAGGCTTTCATTGAGAAGTTAACAGAAGAGATAGTGAGGAGTAAAATGGAAATAAAGAAGTGCAGAATGATGAACACGTTGTGTTGTGTGTTTTGCTTCATTACCATTGTTATTGCTATCTTGATGGTGATTGGTAAGGAAACAAAACTTGTGGTTGGTTATTAGTGTGAGAAGAGTGATTTATGTAGCTTTTGTTAGGTATGGATTATGTGTGAATCGCATTCGGATTTGTGGGTTTGGATATGTTTATGTATAATTTGAATTTCTGGCTTTTGGATCAAGTTTGGAACTCAAAATGTTGCATGTTTAGTGATTGAAATGGGGAAGAGTGAGATGAGTTCATGTTTTATGTGTTTGTAAACCAAAACCATGATTCTTAAGATAACAAAATGCCAACTAAACGCCAACTGAAATACCAAACTCATAAAACATGATTCTTAAGAGAACAAAATGCAACTAAAATGCCAACAAAACTATCAACAAAACTATGATCATAAATCAAATGCAACAAAACCATGATCAATAATGCAAACAAAACTATGAACATAAATCAAATGCCAATAAAACTGCATTATAAACATGTTCATAATGTCGAAACCATATCACATTTAGACAAGACAAAATGTCAACAGAAGACAAATGTGTTCATAATGCCAAAACCACGATCTCATTAAGAGAAGACTAACTGTCAACATATGGTAAACATGTTTATAAACCAAAATATGATCCCATAAGCCTGAACTAAACATTCGAAACATACAAGTGGCCACATGATCATAGAAACCATGATCGCCAACCTCCTTCAAATCCTTGTGCTTGTGATCCTCTATGTTCTTGTGAAACTCCTTGTGCTTGTGATCCACTATGTTCTTGTGAAACTCCTTGTGAAACGTCTGCTTGTGAAACGCCTTGCGACTGTGGAAGTCCTTGTGATTGTGAAACCTACGGCTGTGAAACTCCTTCCGTGCCTCCTTCCTGAGATGAAATAAATGAAAATGTAGTGTATTCAGATTTGACAAACGAAAATGCATGAACATGTATGAAACAAATATATATTAAATGATGTTGAATGAAAAGAGACTTATTCATTCGGATTTTACAGTAAAGAAAGATGCAAACCTGATATTTTCTTGGTCGACCCCTTGGTCTTTTTGCTGCAGGCTGAACAGTAGGATTTTGACAACCTTGCTTGTGATGTCCTTCTTGCAAGCAGTTTGAGCATGTCATTACTCTACAAACACATGATAGCGTGGTACTCGTTGAAGAAGCAGCAGTTTCGTTTACTCCTCTCCTCCTAGCATAGTTGCTTGGTCTACCAGGATTACCTCTTCTCCATGGTGGTGGCAAGACAGGTAGCCTGTTTAACCGAGGCCATAACTTCATGCCTTGGACAGGCGCAATACCATCTCTATATGTTTCTCGCCACCTTCTTGTTGTGTAGAAGTCATTGACAAACTCTTCCACCTTTCTTTTCTTTGCTATGATCACATGAGCAGCATGAGGACAAGGTATACCAATCATTTGCCACTTTCTACAATCACAAGTCATCATGTTCATATCCACACGATATGCAACATCATTCAACTCAACTTCATGCAAATCATTTCGTGCCATATGCCTAATGCAATGCTGCGCCCCTGCTATCATCTTTTCTATCTCAGCATGAGCTCTCTTTGTGAACTCTGTTTTTAATCTTTCTGCTACAATAGATCTCTTCGCATTACGGACCATGCATTGTCGCCTAATCTCTTCTAACAAGTCTAATAAAGGTTTTTTCCTTGCTAGCTGAATGGTTCTATTGAAAGACTCACTAAGGTTATTGAGAATGTCGTTGCAAAACGAACCTAATCTAAAGAAAGCCCTAGACCACGATGTAGGATTAGTCTGCTGAAGAGAGTTGAATGCTTGAGGATTGTACCTTTTCAATGCATCCATATGATCACTGTATTCTGATGTGGTGTAGCTGCGTGCTATTTTCCAGAACAGTCTTTGTAGCTCTATGTCATGATTGTCTTTCTTCCAATTCTCCATAATATGTCTAGCACATTGTCTATGTTCAGCTTGGGAAAGAATGTTCTTAACCGCATTGACAATACTCTGAAACAAACAGCAATACAAACCATAATAACAATAAACTTTGAGATTAGTATAACAGTCGAGTATAAAAATTGCAACAAAACAATCAAAAATGATTAAGCAAGAGTCGAACCCTGTGTTTATCTGAGATTACTGCAACAGAGCTTCCTTCACCAAGACCTAAACTTTCACAGAGATGTTCCATAAACCATTTCCAATTCGTATCATTCTCCACTTCGATTACTGCCCAAGCGATTGGGACTATCCGATTATCTCCATCTCTTCCAACTGCAGCTAAAAGATGTCCCTTGATATCCCATTTAAAAATACACCATCTATCCCTATGATCGGTCTACAAGTCTTCTTTCAAGACTCTCTTTGTGAATTAAAGCAAATATAACACCTGTAGAACCTTTGTTTGCTCCCTATAGTAGGCCCTGGTATAGTTTCAATCTCGAATTTGGTGTGGGGATTTGTCTCATAAATCTCAGCTTGATAATCCCATACACGTGCAAAATGCGCTTCATGACTGGCTTTCTTTTCTTTCATAAGCTTTGTCTTCGCCTTCCCACATTGATCATCACTTACAACCAAGTTGTATTCTCTCGTGATCTCTGAAGCCATCTCTTGTTTTGTAAGCTTTGGATTCACTCGCAGTCTCTCTGAAAATAAACATGCAATTGTTGACCGCTTCAACATCTTAGAGTAACCCGAGCGGATGCAGATATGCTTGTTTATATACACTTTAACCTGCATCTTATGCCTCCTCCTCTCATACGAACAATAAACCCTCCACAGACATAAGACTTTTTTGTCAGCACACTTCGCACCAATCTTCAATGCTTGCGACCTATACAACTTAACATCATATCTAGTTTTCAGAGAATACTGAAGCACAGCAAGCTTGAAATCTTCAGGCGAATTGTATGTTTTTCCTAATGTTAGCAGCTCATCAGGATCTTCGGGCTCTCTATACCTTTCCTCTTCGTTGCCCTCATCATTCTCGTTGTCATCAGAATCAGATGACAAAGGATCAGGAATCCTTTCATCATCCCATATATCATCTCAACTATCTGCATCACTCTCATCTGCCTCATCTCTCGCTGCTTCTCCAAAAACTTCTACTAAATCTTGGCAACCTTCTTCTACTAACCCAATACCGTCTTCATCAGCGTCTTCACCAGCGTCTTCATCATCAAGCTCATCAAAATCATCATCACCAACAACCGAGCTGCCGAAATCATCACCTCCAATGTCGGCTTGAACTTCAGCTTGAGCTTCAGTTTCTTTAGCTCGAGATTTTGAAATTTTCCCCTCCTTCCGTTTTGATTTAGGCATGATTTCAGAAAAGGAGCAGTCGAAATAAGGGGAATGAGATTGATTGAGAAACACAATTAATCGAGAGAGAGCAGAAGAAGTCGAGAATTGAGAATTGAGAAGAGCAGAAGAAGTCGAGAATCGAGAAATTGGATTTTTGATTTGAAAACTAGGGATTTGATTTTTCAATTTGGGGGTTTTTGTGTATAAGAACGACGTCGTTTTGGACGTTAACGGCGAGTTTAAACGGTACTTAATCCCGTCTAATAGAGCTGTTAGTCGAGTTAACAGTATGCCTAAATTGGCTGGGTCAACGAAAGTTTAGGATTTAAAAAAGTCAAAGAAGAACTCTGTTTTTTGAATTGCTCTCGAGATAGTCTATGCTTTAAATGGTCGAAATTTGATAGTTGAGACTTTAAATGACTTTTTTCCCTTTGTTTATGATAAAAAATTCCAGTTTTTGTTTTCTTTTTCTTTTCCAAATATGCGTTTTTAAAATAGTACTTGATGACTGGTCCAGATATATTGATCGAATCGAATACATATTTTTAAATATTGTTTCGAATATCGTATTAGTTTGGAATTTAATATCCACGCGTTGGTCACAGCCACACAATTCTCTAAAAAGATAGCACGTTTGCAATTCGTGTATTACTATGATCTGATGCAACGTGAAATTTTGCAATGCGCAATTGTAATATATTTTCTACATTGCAGTTGCTACATTATCCATAGATTCAACATCATCTAATAAGTTCACTAATACATCGGAAGTATTGATGTTCATGTGATATTTGACCTAATAAGCAATGTGAAATTTTGCAATGCGCAATTGTAATATATTTTCTACATTGCAGTTGCTACATTATCCATAGATCTTTTGATCATCTAATAAGTTCACTAAATAATCATGTGAAAATACAAAGTCAAAGTTGAGCTTTCAATCTAGTATACAACTATGATCAGGTAGATCTTTTGATTGTAAAAGACATTTTTTAAAAACTGAGTAATGAGAAAGGATGATAATTTTCTGTTGGAGATTTAAACCATCATGAGATGTTTTAAATGCAAATTTGTACCCTCAATATATGATATTGTCACTCTTGTTGACCAAAGTATCCTCCTCCTCTCATTGCCTCCACCATCTTCAGACTCAGTCGTCGGTCTCTATCCATAATAGCAACACTTTTTGAAAGAGCGTCTTGCGGCTTTTGACTCCCCAATAACCTCAAATCATCAGCCGCACTCTCAATGTCTTTCCGATCATCCACATACTCAACACAAGCGTAGGCTGATAAAACAAGATTCTTCTTTAAGTCCCACACGTTTCGACTCACCTCCATTGCACTCTTCTTCTTCTTCTTCTCTTCCTCTTCTTTAATATGATCTTTAACCATGTCCTTCACTATCTTGTTGGTTTTTTCCATCACAATTTTTCTTTGGTCACCATAAACTACAAGATTTCTGATATCTCCAGTAATATCCCACTCTTGAAGATCCTTGTATGCTCCTTGCATATCTTTTATCCTAGAAAACGCCCTAATCTTCCCTTCCGTGCCCCACATTGTTTTGTCCACCCGGACCTCAGCTAAGTTCCTCAAACGACGAATGTCTTCCTTTTCACCTCTAAGTCTATACCAGAACATGAGATGCAGAAAGACCCTTGGTCTCAACATGTAGTCATAATCACAACTAAACAGTAATCGCTCTGTCTTGCGCATTGTAGCTAAAGCTATTCCCTTTGGACCTTTCCTCTCCAACTTGCTCAGAAACATGGAACTATCAAAGAACCATTGTGCTACTAACATGTAAGAAGCTAACACCATCTCATTCGGTACTCCTTCGGATTCCATGTCTTCGCCGTCCATCTCGCGCCGATAGATGCTTATTATGAGCTCTGAACGCTTCTTAAGGCCCTCTCGCCAATCCCGGACCTCCTTCGATAGTACTCCTTCTTCGTGTTCCATGTTTTTGTCCCGCGAATTGATGCTTCCGAGTTCTGAATATTTCTTTAGACGCTCCCGCCAAATATCCTGTACCACTCTTACTTCGCGTTCCGTTTTTTCCCGACGCTCCCTTGCCCTTAGAGCTGCCTTGAGTAATGGATAAGAATCCTGCGAGGATACTGTTCTCGGGAAGCGAAATATGGAAAACCTGCAAGGAAGAATCCTCACAAAGTGACCCACTTGTGGTCGTCGAACAAGATGCTTCATGTTCAAGTCAAAGACAACCACACAAACAAACCCTAAATAAGACCTAATTTTTTCTTTTTTATCTTTCTTATTTGATTATATTGTCTCGTAACACATCGTCTTCCTCAAACAATCTCACAACTATATATATCCCGGAACCATGATCCAGCAAAAATATACCTTTTAACAAAAAAAAATCAATGATCGAAGCCAGCTCTATGTCAATATATGATGTTTTAGGCTTTTAGCCATCAGAATTGGAATTTTCTTTATGAAAAAACATTATTTAACATAAAAATACATTTTTAATGGAAAAACATTATATATTTATATACAAATGAAAATTGGGTTTTTTAAGGAAAAGGAAAGAAATGGAAATGTAAACATAAATAAAAAGAGTTTTACTTTTAAAATACATAAATTAGTGGAGATTTTTTTGTTTGTTAAGCCAAAAAAGGAAACGTTTTGTACGATGGGGTTTGCGAATCAATTTGATTTCCTGAATCCACCCTAAAATGTTGATTAGGGATGGTCCCCATAAATGAAAAAAAAAAGAAAGAAGAAGGAACGCACTACTCCTTAAATTCATTAATCAAATATGTGAACATTAATTTTGCAATATCCACAGAGATTTGTAACAGTAATTCTGCAAAGTTTGCTTATTTAATAGTAACTTTCTATTTAAAATTTCTTATGAATTATTATGTATACTAGGTATTTACCTGCGCTATGCTACGGGATATTTTTCTAGATTTGTATATATTTTTAATATAATAAAATTATTTATATATTTTAAATGAGTATTATATTTATTTTGTATTAGCTTAAATTATGTATTTATATGTTTTAAATCTAAATAAACATTATATATCATTATTTTTTTATTTTTTAAAATTATAATCTACTATCAAATTTGTTTAGCTAACTATCTATAAATGTATATGTAAGAATAAAACAATACATTTTTAAGTACCTTCAAGCTAATGGTAGATGTAATTTATTTTCTCTACTAAATGGCTACTTGATCCTCCTTCGAAATCATATAAAGCAAATTGCCATTTTAAAAAAATATTAATTAATATGATTATTTTAAATTATAAAATTTATTTATTTATCAAATATTTATTATAGACATATGTTTATAAAACTACCAAACTATAATCAATAACATTCATATCAAAATCATTACTATTACTTTAGAACTAAATAGAAAGTTTTATACGCACCAAAAAAAAATAGAAAGTTCTATTTGAATTGTTGAAATATCAATTTAGTTGAAGTTAAATAATTCAAATTTGGTTACTATAAACATATTATAACTTGAAAATTTAGCACAGAGAAATTTTATCTTTTTACAAAAACTGAGAAATTGCATTTTCGACCAAAACCAAAAAAAATCATTTTCTCGTCAAACCTGAAATTTCATTTTCCTACCAAAACAAAAAAATTGTATTTTCCCTCAAAAACAAAAAAAATCACAATTTCCCGCGAGAACCTGTGTTTTTCCGTCAAAAAAGAGAAATCAAGTTTTTTCACCAAAACCAAAAAAAAAATTTATCTTCCTGCAAAAACAAAAAATAGTATTTTTCCGTCAAAACCAAAAAATTATTTTCCCGCAAAAATCGAGAAATCGTCTATTCCCACCAAAACAAGAAAAAATTAATTTTCTCGTCAAATCAAGAATCACGCCTTCCTACCAAAACCGATAAACTACAATTTTCCGCAAAAACCAAAAATTGCATTATCTCCTGAGAAATTGCGTTTCCCACGAAAATTAAGAAATCTTATTTTCCCTCGAAAACCAAAAATCAAATTATATGTCAAAAACTAAAAATTTGCATTTCCCATCAAAACCAAGAAATTGTTCATTCCCGCCAAAATCGAGAAATTTTGCTTTTCTATCAACCCGAGAAATTGCATTGTTTGCCAAAATTGTCAAATTACGATTTTCCGCAAAATTCAAGAAATTATATTATCTATTAAAAGCCGAAAAAGTGTATTTTCTATCAAAACCGATAAATTGCATTTTCTATCAAAACCGAGAAATCATATTTTTCGTCAAAATTGAAAAGTTGCATTTTTCTCGCATTTTCTCGTCAAAATCAAATTTTTTATTTCTCACTAAAACCAAAAATTCATATTTTGCCGCCAAACCCGAGAATTTGTTTTTTTTCTGCCATAACCGAGAAACTATATTTTTCTACCAAAACTGAAAATCACATTTTTCTACCAAAACCAAGAAATTCTCTATTTCCGCCAAACTCAAGAAAATTTGTTCTCGGTAACCAGTGGAAATGCGAATCTCCAAGCTGTGGTGGTCTGAGTTTCTCCTCATTTGCTTTCGCCTTCCATTTTTTTTTTGTAAACTTTGGGCTTTTTAATGGGTCAGCAAAACAGTAAATTTATTTTATTAGTGTGTTAATAATATGTATTATTGTTATGTTTTTATTGGTTCAAATTTTTGCTGATGTGTGAGCTTCTTATAACATAACGCTTTTTGCATTGTTGTTATGGAAGCATAGTTGATGATGAGTCTACACTTTCTTCAATCATATACATCTCTATCAAGCAAACACATAGTTAGAAATTTTAATTTTTTTGCTGTTATTTATTATTTGAGTTTCAGTTTAGTAAAAATATAAAATAAATATTTAATTTTATTATTTGTTGTTATTTATTATTTGGGTTTGTTAAAAAAATAAAAGAATTTTTTTTATTTGTTGTTATTTATTATTTGGGCTTGGGCTTGACCAAAAAATAAAAATAAAATTAACAATAAAAATATTTGAGTTTTTAATGGGTTTAAATTTAAAAATTAAAATAATTTGATGACTTGTATTAATGAAATATTTTTATTGGTGTTTTTTTTTTGTTGAAGTGTCATCTCCTAAGAACTTAAAAATGCTGATGTGTCAAACCATGGAGAGACTTATGGGTTATTGTTGTGTTGATATATTCCAAACAAATCCAAAATTTAAATCGTTGATCCAATAATATTTTGTTACTGATGTTTGTAAGAATATAGTATTGATGTTTTACATCGTAGCCGTTTACACAACCCAACCTGTACAGAATCTATAAATTATTTAGCCCCAAATTATTGTAACCTCTTGTGAGAGTGATAACGAAACTAAACTTTTCTTAGGTTATAATTTAGTTTAGCTTTGTAACCTTTTACCAAAATTATTGATAACCAAACAAAAGATTTCAAGATGGTGCTCGAATCTATCAGCAGCATATACACTAAACATGAATATATTAGGAGCACTAAAATACTTCACGCCAAAGTATTATAACATCCTTTTGAGAATGATAATACATCGTTTAATTATGACGTGGTAGATATTCATGAAAACCAAGAATCATCTACCAGATTCTTGATTTTCATAGATATCAAAAAGAAAATTATTATTGAGATATTATTATCTCTACTAACCCAAAACCCATGTCCTAAACAGAATTACAAGCATCTAAGCTTCATTTTGGCAAAAGACATGTTTTATTTTAGACTATATACAATCATGTGATGGTCACATTCTCCAAAAATTCAACATCAGCCAATAAACTCGGAATTACATCAGACCATAAGGTCGCATGAACATCAATACTTCCATCTTCGATGCCCCGGAAAAATATGAGTTTGCCACTGACACTATTGCCCGGTCCATTCGAGCGTGCCCCAACCGAAATCAATATCATACACTTCAAACCAATGAGAGCCTGAGACAATTATAGAACCACCAGCTTTTCTACTTCCACCACCACCAAATATTCGAATCTTTACATTTCTAGCCCAATCCTCCGCATAAGTTCTATAGTCATCATTCGTCAACGACCTCAACATTTTATTTATTTGCAAAACAGCCCACCCGAGGCCATGATCTCGCAACTCTCCCACTGTGGTTTTACCTATCGCGTTATAGGCCACATTCCCGAAACACTCTTTCTCAAGCGGAGGGTTTAGCCTCTTCCTCAAATCCACTGCTACAATGCAACGCGCCTCATCTTCTCGGTTTAGACCACTGTGTCTAATGATTGATCGCCACATATGCGCCGAGACCACTTGAAGAGACGAGACTTTCACGTCACTAGAGCCACTTTCGCCGTTGACTTAGCTTTGAGATCTGAAATATTCCTCTTCGTGAAGTGAAAAACTCTCCCTTCCGTCGACTTTTCACCACTCGACGCCATCTTTGTCTGTATCTCTGAAACGGGGATACGGATCGGAAAATCGATCCCGTCGACGAACCATCCTTTGAGGACAAGAGGACGATCAAGATCCTCACTTTGACCATTCGAGCAGATCTTGGACCAAGCCCTGAAGAAGTTCCAGATCGAAGCTCCATCGGCGACCATGTGGTTGTAACCAAAGCTAATGAAGACGCCATCTTTCATCTCGGTGACTTGCAAAGCAAGCAAGGGCTCCGAGATGCTTTTGATGCTTTTGGATGCTTTTGAAACCGTTCATGGGGAAGAAAAGTTTGAAAAACTCTGGAACAGAGCCATCAGGTAGAAGAAAATCGCTTACCGATACGGATTCAGCTATAGCGTGGACGAATTTGGCGGCAGAGCCGTTGCAATCGACGTGAAACGACACCGTACTGTCGTCTTGATTGTCCACTTTGCCAAGACGACCAGCGAACGGGAAGTAAACGTCTAGAGCAGAAGAAAGAGAAGTCTTTAGTCGAGAGATGAAACGGGTTTCCGGGTCGGGTTTGGGGAAGAGGAGACCTCTTTGAGTATAATCGACATGAGTATAATCAAATGGAGTTAGATGGATCTTTTCCCGGCACGATTGGTTGATGTTTTCAGGTCGAACAATGCTCGACGATATTACAGTCACATCTGCCATTTTTTTGTCTCTCTAATCTAAAGTCAAAGGGGAGGATGGATATATACAAGTTGTGAGCAAAATCATTTTGAAAAATTTCAAGTTTTCAACCTACAAGTTTCCATTTGTTTTTTTTTTTAATAATTCTACGACTTTTATACTCTTCAATATATTTTTATTCAAAGGGATGTTTAGTGCTAACCAGCAAAAAAGAAAAATAAATTGTCAAAACCAGTAAAGAGAGCGATGATTCAGCGTCTAATAGTTAGTTAGAGTCTAACCACTAAAATGGTTTAGATTTTTATAACATAAATTGGTACAGTACATAATATAAATAATGATATTAAACCGGAATATTATAAATTGAAAAATATAAGCATTCGATAATTACGGTCTTAAGTACAGAAGTTAACCTAACAAAAAAATTAGTTGCATTTTAAAGCCCAACATATTGAATGGTGAAATAAACCCATAGACATCATTAACGGTGTTAAATGACTAACTGTGGATAAAACACATCGTTTAACTGTAAGGAACAAAACGACCGTGTTTAAAGTTTACAATAACAGAAACGAATTTAGAAGAAAAGAAACAGAGGGATTCTACTGGAGAAGAAAAATCCTCGGAAACCTTAGTCTGATCTTCGTCTCGATTTGGGGAAGAAACTCGGAAACCGACTGTGGTCGCCCGGATTTTGGTATGTTTGTTCGAAAATTCTCCAAATTTTTCTATTTTATATAACTTTCTTAGATCCAAACGCAGAAAAGTTTCGTCCTTTGTTAAGTTTACAAGTTGTCCTTAAACTGCTCGATGAAATGTCTCAGTGAACATATTTGTCAGAATACCGAAATTTGTTTCGTTTTTCTTAATACTAAAGTTTGGTGGGTTTGTAGTTATTACAGAGAGAAATGGCGTTGAGGCAGAAGTTAGGATGGTCAGAAGGAGATTTGATGAGATCAGACGCAAAGCCATGTTCAAGGCTGATGAGACAAACTGCTGCCATTTTCACTGTTGGCGGAGCTCTTGGTTTCTGGGTTCTCTGCAGACTTCACTATGGTACAAATCCCTCTCTCTCCTTTCTTAATCAGTTTCTATAGATTGAGTCAACAGGTTATACTAATCAACACGTTCTTCTCCATGGAGCTACTGAATCCAGTGTTCTGCTTCATTGATTGTTAGAAACTAGATGAATCTTTCATATATTATGGAATCTGGTGACCCCTTAGTGTATCCATTTCTTATGGTGAAAATGAATCCAAGCCTTGATTCCTATTGCCATGGTAATGGTTCTTGGGGATGGCTTTTGTATCTTGTGGGGGGGGGGGATTTAAGATTTAAAGTAACAATAGAGAATAGTTGAAAGACAAAACCTAAGATTCAATGGTTATAGAAGGAAAATGTTGTTGAACCGTTCCATTACATGATGAATGTTTTGCCTCTGGGGAATGTGCAGGACCGAGGATTACAGTGCCAAGGAGCCTGCGATGGGCTGGGTGTGGAGCTGTGTCCATGAGTACATCAACTGCAACGCTTGTCCGTCTCTTTAGCCCTGAATGTGAACCCCAAAACATTGCTGCATACGACCTCCCCAAAACCCCTCAAGCTTCACTCCCTTAAAACCCATCACGTTTCTGACTTTATCTTTTATGTGTATGAGAGCCTCAACCTTTGAGTACATTCTTTTCACTACATGAACTTTAAGTAACTATTGATAATACTATTGTATCTGTTTTATTTTTCATCTGAATCAATCATGCAGATGCAATAGTGACATTTTCTAAAAACTCTGCATCGTCTAGTAGATTCACTAGTACATTAGGCCATAGCGTCGCCTGAACATCGATACTTCCTTCTTCGATCCCTGGAAATAGCACAAGCTTGCCGCTGATACTATTGCCCGGTCCAGCTCGAACTGCAAGCGGTTTCCCCCAACCGAAATCGTTGTTGTACACTTCGAACCGAGGAGAGCTTGCGACGACTATGGTATCACCATCCATTTTACTTCCTAGGCCTGATTTCAGAATCTTTACATTCCTAACCCAATCCTCTGCAAAAGTTTTAAGCTTTTCATTCGTTTGCGATCTCACTAATTCATTTATTCGAAGAGCAGCCCACCCTAGGCCACGATCCAGCAGCTCTTCCACGGTTGCTCTAGCTGGTGAAAGATAGATCATATTCCCAAAACACTCTTTCTCAAGCGGAGGATTCAGCCTGTGTCTCAAGTCCACTGCGACTTCACAATGCGTCTCTCCTTCTCGGCTCAAGCCACTGTGTCTGATGATTGATCGCCACATATGCGCCGTAACCACTTGAAGAGATGAGAGTTTTAGGTCACTGGAGCCAACCTCACCGTAGGCTTTAGCTTTGAGATCTGAGATGTTTTTCTTTGTGAAGTGAAAAACCTGATCTTTTGTAGCGGGCACGGCAGAAAGTTCACGGCTTGGTGGTGGCGGCCTCTCCGCCTCGGTGACTTGTAAAGCAAGCAAGGGCTCAGAGACACCATCGCAACTCTTGAAATCTTTGGCGGGAAAGAAGTGCTCAATGAAATCTTGAACAGAACGACGAGGTTCAAGAAAATCACTCACCGAGACAGATTTGGCTTCGGCGTGGTGAAACCCAGCGCCGGAGCCATCGCAGTCTATGGAAAACGACACCGTGTTGTCTTTTTGATTCTCTACTTTGACAAGACGACCCGCGAAAGGGAAGAAGATCTCTAAGGCAGTCGAGAGAGGGGACTTTAGTCGAGAGATGAGATTGAAATCTGGATCGGGTTTGAGAAAGAGAAGACCTCTTTGAGTATAATCGATATGAAGGGTAGTGAGATCAAATGGAGTAAGATGGATCTTTGCTCGACCCAAAGGGCTAGTGTTTACGGGTCGAACAATGCTCGATGAGATCAAAACTACTACTCCTGCCATTTTTTTTCGTCGCTATTGTGTGAAGGAGAAGTAAGACTCGGCCTCTCTAAAATACTACCCACATACCAATTAGAAGAAAGCAAATCCTATCCTAATTACCTAAGGAAAATGATTTGGGGTTTCTTAATCTTTGTACGTTCTTTTCAGAAAATCTCGTGAATCACTTTTCTAAAACAAATTAGAGTTCTTAGTACTTGTCCATCAAAAACTTGTCTGTACTGTTTTGATATATAGAGTTTTGTCCATAATTAAAACGTGTACAACCAAACCTGACATCTGAAAACATGTCCATAAATAATTTGTTTGTAAGATATACAGCATGTTCAAAACTTATTATAGTTTCAATCAGTTATTATAGTTTGTGATGGACCAAGTTTTGATGGACAAGTATCGATCATAATATACATATTTCTAGTACCACTTTGTGAAAGTTGTGGATCCACCATAATGTACATATTTATAGTTTTTAAACAGTTTTATAACCTTTCACAAAAAAAAGAAATTTGGCTAAAAGAAACAAAATCACATAATTAGCTACTTGAAATTTTATGTACAGAGTTTGAATACAAGGACGTAAACAGAGGAAATAGCTTCCGCCGTGCCGCGTACGATAGCAAAAGCCGCCGTTGTAATATATTTTATTTCTCGATCATTTTTTTCGATAATCTTATCTTCCCACCGCATCATCATCCGGATTTTCCGGGTCGGGCAACTTGTTGTTCAAGTCAACCCGCTCCAATAACCCGCCGCCATACTCTCCCTTTTGACCAAAAACGAGGCGGCGTTTGTTGTTCTGCACCGCCGTACCAATAGCGTCTACTCGAGCTCCGACCTCTGTCGCCTTTTTCCTGATCGTCTCCGCCGACAAGTCCTCGGCGGCAGAGTATATATCGGTGGAGGGCAAAAGCTCCGGGAAATTGAGCGTAACGGTTGGTCCTCTGAGGTAAAATAGCGCCGTGTCGTACGCACGCGCCGCTGCTTCGGGAGTAGAGTAAGAGCCGAGCCAAAGCCTCGAACGCTTGTTGGGTTCTCGAATCTCCGCCACCCATTTTCCCCATTTCCTCATCCTTATCCCTTTGTATCGTCTTTCTCTCTTCCTTGCGCCTGACACGTCATGAGCTGATGCTTCTTCGACGTCCATGGAGATTTGTACGTTTCTAAAGACGAGGACTTTCGAAGTGGGTTTAGAGGAACTATCTGAATTATTTATCAATAGACTCTAGACCGCTTACATGTAGAGAGAGAGAGAGAGAGAGAGAGAGAGATTGCAGCTGTAGTTGGAGGAGAAAATTCCAAAATACAAGACGACTCGCGTTATTTATAAACGAATTTGTATTAAAACATTAAACTGCTATGGTAATGAGATTAATGATTATATCAAACTAAGGTTAGGCTAGAAGATGGAGTAGTGCAAAAATGGGATGTGAAAGGTGTGTCTGTGATAGGCTCGAGAAGAGCCGTGGAGATAACAGAGTCAATTTTTATCAACTTTAGGTTGATATATTTATAACTCGAAATAAAATTTGTTTTTTTTTAAAAAGAAACTCGAAATGAGAAACTAAAAGGTAGATACTGATCTCTTTGTAATAGATTTTTAAAAATATACATAAAATTTTTAATATTGTAACATACATAGAATTGAAAACTTAAATCCTAAATCGGGTTAGTCAAATTTTGACGAAAATTAATGAGACCAAAATAGTTTGTTTTTGGTTTTTTTGAACATTTGCTTAAGATTAGAGACCCAAGTAATTAATCGATTTATTATCATTTCCACAAAACTATATATAGATTATACGTTCCGAAATTTAAGATAAAACAGAAAATAACAATCGAATATGATCATACGTTAAATTTAAGTACGTATGTTTTTCCGATTATATAATAGATGCGTACGTATGTATACACGTCATACAAAAGCAGATGAGGAGAAACAAAAAGTGGGACCCATATGGTCGGTAGTCGGTGGCTGGATACCGTTAGGAATAGACTTTATGTTCACGTAAAATGACGACACGTATTGCTCATTGTCCCTTTTGTCCTTTTGGTTTGGGAATTTTATCTTCACAGCACAGCATGATAGACTAGGGATAACTTCGGTATTTCTCTTTTCCTCCCGGTGATAGACTAAGGATAATTATAATTATAATTACACGAGGGCGGCTCATTTCTTTTGTGTTTGATTGCAATATTAAATATATATACTGGAGAATGCCTCAAGTGAGACATTTTTGCATAAATTAATGTATTTTAAAAACTCAAACAGAAATTGCAAACCTTTTTTTCTAATCTGTCTTTAATTTACAAACTCAAACAGAAGCTGCAGTGATGTACAAAAGCATTTTTCTTGAATTAATTGAACATATAATTCAGAAAAAGTATTTTAAAAACGTTAGACCAAAAAAAGAAAAACGCTTTTACAGATGTAATTAGGAGAAACCGATCAAAGAAGAAGACACATAGTAAATTATTGTATCTTGAAAATAGAGTTTGGTCATTTTAATAAAATCTTTCTCAAACTCACAGTTTTGTTATTCTTTTATTGTTCTTTGTTTCCATACAATGAGTCATACTAACAATTCACGAGTATCCCAGAATTAAAAAAACAAGATAGTAGCAAAGATGAGTTATGGTCATAAAAGAGAGTCGCATGACATTTGTTAAAGCATTTACAAAACCTTAGACCAACAAAAGAAAAACAGAGAGGCAACTAAGAGATAAGAGTGACCACAAATGGAGTTCATGTACAGCAGACTTATGTAACTAGGAGGGAACAGAGCTTTTGTAATTTACCGTTCTCTTCCTTTATATCTTGAATCATTTTGATCACTTCTCCTCTAATCGTAGGCCTTTGCTCCGGCAAATGTACAACAGACTTGTATATGTAACAAGGAGGAACAGAGCTTTGGTTCTTCATGTATTGAGTAACTAGTAATATTCAAAAAGCGTGTGGACCCTGCAATCTGGCGAAGCTCTCGGAAGCCTTAGTATAGCAGTGGCGATTCTTAACTGTTCCTCGACACTTGTTGGTCTCCTAGACCGAACTTCCAGCAAGTCGAGACGTGGCAGTTTTCCCAAGAATTGCTCTATTTGCGCCAGCTCAGCGTCACTTCCGTCGTTCACCAACTCTATATCCAAGGCCTCCACAGGACATGTCAGTAGACAAGCATATCCCGACACACACTCGCAGACGTAGTCAGGTTCTTCACCAAAGTGCAATCCATTCTGCAGCAAAAAAAAAAAGATGATTCAAGGATTTACAACATGGTTTTTTGGTGATTGGTCAGGACTTTTGAGAGATGATACCTCGATGCTGAGCATCTGGAGATTCGGAGTGTTGCTTAGCAAATAGGGAAGAAACCGCCAGCACAATCCCACGGCTGCATGCGTGAGAGTTATATGATTGAGATTTTCAAAGACTGGGATTGCAGCACGGAAGTAGTACAAGGCCTGAAATCAAATTTGAAAATCAGCTAGGAAACAAAAAACTCATCAAACATATGGAAACTTAAAGCCAGATTCCCTTATTCTATGTTTTCTATTCTCTCAAGCTGCTAAGAAGCAATACAAGAACACTTACCTCAAATGTTGAAGGAGATGCTAGATCTAGGATCTTAACATTTCTTATCCCTTGAAAAAGATTTGTTGGGTCGCTTGATATAGCTGCACCTTCCCATGGAACTGCTACTACATTCAATTGGTGATTTACCACTACCTGAAGATCGAGCCTGGCTTCAACAAGCGACTCAAAATTAACAGCAGCATAAGCATCCGGAACAAAATCAGCGTAGTCCAAGTATTTGAGGCTGGGAGTTTGAAAAGTGATCGCCTGATACTCAGGCCCTTGAAAATCTGGGGACAAATCTCGATGAACACTAAGCCTCTCAAGAGACTGGCTGGAAAAACTGCCCGACCATCCCCAAGTCTCCCACTTCATACCATAAATGATTAGCTCCTTCATCACAGGGCATGACAAAAGAAGCGCCATGAACGCACACTGGTTAGCAGGAGCAGAGAATCGAACTGAGTCAAGAACCAGCACCTTAAGATTTGGCAGGAAAGCATTCTTAGGGATCACATCCACAACAGTTCCTTCTCCTAGCTCGAGCTTAGCAACTGTAGGGCACGTGAAGAGCTCCGAAGGCAGACGATTATCACGATGTAATCCTATTCCAAGAATCACGACGTTGCGCTTCAAGACACCACGTAGCCAAAGGTTGAGAAGAGCTGGGTCAAGAAACTGTCGAGAGTGCAGAGAGAACTTCCTTAAACATGTATCGAATTCTAGCGCAGCCAATACAACGCCCACAAACTCCGAGAAAGTCTCGTGAGGATCAACACTGTCATCGAGCGCAAGATCCATGATGGTGTGGAGATTCCTAAATCTCTTTGACAGAACCAACACACGCGCGACGTCGTTTGCACCCAGAAGCCCCAGGATTCGCCTAACAATTTCATCCGGTAGACCGGTGATCCCAACCATCGATCCTGGATCTATCAAGAATACAGAGGTGATAAGATTTAGAAGAAAGAGATGAGAAACTGAGCGAAGATGGTTCAAGAAGAAGAATCAAGAAGAAGAAGACGAGAGGGAGAGAGAGAGATTAGAAGGGAAATGATTATATTTATAATACCGTTATGCGCGCTCTCATAAGAGTAACAAGATTACAAAACCGTAACAGACATATGAATACCTTATGGGCCAGTAGAACACTCCGGTGAGCCCAATAACCAGGAACGCTTTGAGAGAGCATGGAACCTCTCAAAGGTGAAGAAGATTTCATTATCACCCAAAGAAAGTATTTACCAAAGACAGCTTTCTCTCAGTACAGGAAGCAGTTTCTGAGACTCTGTTTCACCTTTACTGCTTCTCTCTGGTGTTTGCATCCCACAAACTCAACATCAATCAACAAGTCTCTCTCTCTCCCCTATATATTTGACTAACATCATCAAGTTAAGAGTAGAAGAAAGTATAATCCTCAACAGCTAGAGTGATGATACATTGACCTTTTCTTTTTTGTTGAGCTCCGCGGGAATCTTAAATGGGCCACAGATACAGCGGAGCCACATTCTCAGTACAATCTCTCCTCCTTTTGCTCTTTGTGAATTGTTCACTGGTGGAGACTGTTTTTCTACCGTATTTTCCATTTGGCTTGGTCGCCCTCCAGGTGTTCGATGAATTTCCCCAGAGATTTTTTCCGAAATTTCCGTCGAATTTGCTTATCTCCGGGCGTTTGTGGCGTCTTGTCGTGCTCTTCAACCAGCGGTTTGGGCAGAGAAACTCGCGGTTCCGAATTGTTCCTTAAGAATGTTCATCAAGGCTTCTTCTAAGTGTCCGTGGATCTGCGTAGGAGATTGAGATAACTATTTATTACGTTTATTTTTTGTGTGATTATTCTCTCCTTCGTATATAATTATTTTGACCGTAGTTTTTTTGTTTGTCGATGAACTTTTTAACTTTTGACCATAGTTAAAAAAAAAAAACATCTTATAGGTTTCTCCTTTCTTTTACAACACGCAAGACACGTTTCTTTTGTGAAAGAGCATGATATATCTTAATTAAACAATATTGTTGTATTATTTACACATATATTCTCTTTATATATGCTTAAACAATTGGAAAATTAAAATAAATTTTAGAAAAAGAAATATAGATTTATATATAAAGATAGAGATATATATTTAAATTGTTAGAAAAAAAGATAAAGATATGTTTACTTTGTTCGATAGAGATAGATTTATATTGTTAGAAAAAAATGGGATTTAATCATTAAACTCGTTTAGAAAATAGCTTGCGTATCGATAGAGATAAGTTGTATGTTGAATCAAGGGAGAGATTAAGAGCTTTCAGAGAGATGGATGTGAAAAGGAAGAAGAGCAGAAAGGAAGACGAGGATGCAACTAGCAAATTGCCGGAAGATCTACTCTGTCACATCTTGTCTTTCCTCCCGCAAAAAATGTCAGCTTCAACATCGGTTCTGTCCAAGAGATGGAGAGGTTTGTTTCGATTGGTATCTACTCTTGATCTTGATGACTCCATCTTCGTGCTTGGTGAAAGATCCGAAGAATGCAAACGCACTAGTTTCATGGAGTTTGTGAATAGAGCTATTGACTCCGATTCTCCCATTACCAAATTCTCTCTCAGATGCCATAAGGGCGTAGACGAAGATCTTGTTAAGGATTGGGTCGCCAAAGCTCTCCAACGTGGAGCAACAGATGTTACCTTAGTATTGCTCTTCCCTAAACCCGGATTCGTGCTGCCTCGTAGTATCATCAACTATGCCCAAAACTTGATAAAGCTGAAACTAGGTTGCGGGGGAACTCGCCGCTTCTACGACCTAGCTCGAGGAGACATCATCTTTACAAGGCTTACAACTCTGCATCTTGATTCTGTTGACCTCGGTCGTAATGGTGCAGATTTGCCTCTGATTCTATCTAAATGCCCTGTTCTTGGGGAGTTAATCGTAAATTGTATGCAATGGCACCGTTGGGTATTGGATGGATCGGTGCCTTCCCAAACACTCAAGAGACTAACTATCGATAGTGAACATTACATGCCATTGCCACCGGAAAGTTATCGCCATCCCCGTTCAAGGCTTGGAGAGCCTCTGCTCAGGCCCGTTCAAGGCTTGGAGAGCCTCAGCTCTGGCCCCTTGACTTCGGTTCTGCCGAACCTCACCATGTTTCGTTTGATACTCCAAACCTTGTCTACTTAGACTATGCAGATGGTCTTGCCCGAAACTATCCGCTTGTCAACTTGGATTCACTTGTTGAAGCTAGGCTCGATGTTGGATCGACCCGACCTCAGATGCATGCAAGAGATTCATCAGGCAGATATGAAGTTCCTTGGGACGCCACCAATCTTATCATGGGAATACATAATGTTCAAACCTTTCACTTAACTTCTGATACAATTGAGGTTATTTTTTTTTGGTTAAATCATTTGTTATGATCCAACAAAAAGAGTTGTATTGATGAGTGTGTTTACAGGTGATTGGAGACTTTTGTAAGACCGTACCGGTATTCCACAATTTGAAACATTTATCGATTGAGAGTGACCATCGACGAGGATGGCAAGCCTTGCCTCTCTTGCTCATCAACTGCCCCACTCTACACACTCTTGTCTTCCATGTAAGTACTTGCACACACAAGAAAGATCTGTTTTTAACTTCATTATAAGTTAATTAATTACACACTTTTTTTATTAATATGCATCTTTATCAGAGTCTGCACCACTGTGTTACAGATGGATGTGGAGATGTTTGTGACTGCATCATTTATCCTTCTTCTTGTTTATCATCATGTCCTGTGAAGATTCTCAAGATATTGGACTTTGGTGCGACTTGTGGGGAGATGTCATTAGTCGAGCATTTCCTCAAGAAATTGCCTCTTCTTGAAGAAGTGACCATCATATTAGACTATGAATCCACCTTAGAGGAGGATTTGGATCTTTTTGAAGTCTCCGAGGCACTGGAGATGACCCCAAGAGCTTCACCAAACTGCAAATTAAGAATCGTTGATGAATAATTCAGTTTGAATTTTGGCTGATGTTTTGTCCTAATCTTAACCTTTTTTTTGCTTGTGTAAATGAGCAATAATCTAATCAAAGAATATTCAATTAAATTGTTGCTCAGTTGCACGCAATGCCCATTATGAGTTTACAGTCAAAAATTTTGCTTTGTTGTAGTAGTTTAATCGTAATACCATGCATAATGCAAAAGTACAATTTAAATTTTTGATTAAAGATATTCATTAGAGGAATCAAATTTTAACTCAATAATCGCTATGTTATAGTATAGTTGTTTTTGGACGACAACTTACAGTTTTATTTAAACGTTTTTGATCTAGATGTTCTATCTAGGTTCAATATCTAAATGCAACTTTCAAATATAATTTTTAGATATTGTTCATTTTAAAAAATCAAGTCAGCATTTTGGGGATACATAACTTTTGAATTTTGAATGCAATGTTGTTTGTTTATATATTTATAAAACAATTTAGATACAAAATATTTCAAATAATTAAAAGGGTATATTTTTTTTCAATTCATTTTTTAATCCATAATCAAAATGAATTTTCTAAGATAATATAAATTAACAGATTTTTTTTTTTGAAAATAAAGTTTGATGAAAAATAGTTTTAACGTAAATATGATTTTGGCAAAAAATTTGGTTTTGTAATTTTGACAAAAAACACAATTTTAGTAAAAAGTGAGATTTTATAATTTTTGTGGGAAAACTAGATTTTACGAATTTTGGTGGAAAAACGTAATTTAATGATATTAATGAAAAATATGGTTTTGACGGAAAAATATTTTTTATAATTTTGACAGAAAAAACTAATTTTGACTTTAGCAAGAAAAAACCTGTTTTACAATTTTGATAGAAAAATTCGATCTCATAGTTTTATTTCTTAAATCCCAAGGAACATCCATTCATCATCTAAAAAGGGAGGTAAACATAAATATAGTGGAGGGGATGTGGAAAGTAGCCATGTTTTAAACTATCATGAATTTTAATTAACGTCAACCAGAAAAGGGCGATAGAAGCTAACTTTATACTTATAACTAGCTGGTTGGCCCGCGCATGGCGCGAACATCAAATATTGGATAATTTTATTTATCAAAATAATTGAAATATAAAAAATAAAAAGACAATTACGAGACCATACTATTAGTAGTAGTTATCAACACTATATAAGTACATAAACTTTCTTAAAACTTTAATCTTGATAACCCACACAATTTTAAGATTATTTAATTCGGAATCAGTAACTATATAAGCATTACACGAATTATGAATAGCAGCTGAAAAAACTTGAGCCATATTTGAAGTCTGAAAAACTGAAGAGCAATTTCTAAACAAATCAAGATTTCAAAAGTTTTTTAAGGAAAACACAAATACGATGTGGAAATTGCAACTAAACAAAATAACAAAACAAAAAGTAGAAAATAACATAACATCATGAAAGAAATAGTAACACATATCATAAATTTGAGCATCCAAAGCGCATTTCCAGCACAAGTCCATGTTTAATTGCTAAGCTATGGAGAAGAATTGTGATCATATTCAATATCTTCTGCTTCGCTATCCTCAAGTCTATACGAAGGTAATCATATGTTTACAATAGACATAATAGATTAAAACAAAATCATTTAGCTATAGATTTACATTGCATGCCTTAACTCATGAGCCTCTTGGATATCGGGATCAAATTGGAATCTTGATACTCTAACACAATTGAAAACACGATATCCATCTAACCAGAATTTCCACACACCAAAAACAATTATTGAATATATCGTAAAAACTAAACACATCAGGTTTTTAATATTTTTTCTCATTCCTTTGCTCACAAGTTAAAACCTAAATTAGGCTTATAAATTATAGCCATAAAAAACTAAATTAAACAAAAAATAGAAAAATGAAAAACAAACTAAACATAGATAGAAAGCATATCAATTCTGAACATAAATCATAAACTTTATTCTTTCGTATAATCAGGTCTGTGTATAGTCATCATGATCAAAACTGCAATCTTCTTCATCTTTTTTCCATGTTCACATTTCTTGTTCTTAGGCGCAGAATATTTTATCATAAGCAGATAATAATCTCGGAAAGGATCTTTTGCGCGGAGATGTTTTTTTTATCAGACTGAAAAAACAAAAAATCCAATGAACAAAAATTCAATGCACTTGAACTGCCGTGTCTTGAATGGTTTATAAAAAATCTAGGACCTAAATTGTCATCGTAAAGGAATTCCGAACTCGCACCCAAAACCTCACATATTAAGTGATTACTGTTTCATATATATTATTCATAACATCTGAAAAACTTGTAAACTACAAAGATGAGATGTAAAAATTAAAGTAGGGAACCTCATGAAACAATATGTCACTTGTTATTCTATTTATTGTCAACTCCAAAAGAATGCTAGAGTCTTAATTAAGCATGAGAACTAAAGATCAAACCAGAAAACGCAGTAGAATTATGATGATTATTTTAAAAATTCGAAAAAGATGAGAGACACGAAGAGAAAAAAAGCAAGGGAAATTTAATAAAGGCGAAAGAAAAATGATGATTATCGTAATAGATATTACCCGCCATCAAGTCTTAGTTCTTGCTTATATTATCCTTTGTAAGTACTTCCTTGATAGCAACAATCTAATCGCCAACGTTTTTTCCATTAACAAAGTAGTAGTAAACTAAACTTCAATTGAATCTCTACCTCTGTAAAATTTCTACGATAGAAAACAATATTAAGATCTGATTAAGTGATTTCAACAATATCTAAATCTGAAACATAAAATTATAGAACATTGAAACTTTTCAGGTATATATACCCACATGCATAACAACAAAAAGACTATCCTTCCGCATGAAAAAATTTGAAGACACAAATATGATTCTATATTTGAAAAAATCCTTTTAAATTTATGGTTTTGATTACCCTAACATGAATCATGCCTTCTTTAAAACTGTATAGAAGAGACCCATGAATCGATTAGTGAATCGACCACTTTGACCTCTTCCATAAAACCCGAGAGAATGGAACCAGAGCCGACGACTGCAACAAAGCACGATCCTTAAAAAAAGAGAAAACATAGCGTTCGTAGGTTACATTCCATTCCAACCAAACCATCTTACACCTACAAAATTTAAATGAGAATAATAGTATAAAAACATAGATAATAACATCAAAAGGGCAATAAGAGTTAAAAAAATTCCCAATGTAGACTAAGCAGTGACCTAGGTCGGACGTATATAATGTTAGGATGATCAACAGAAAAGAAAATCATATTATGTTTGCATTCTCAATATTTTAGGGGGAATAAAGCAAAGACATACATAAAAAAACGTATAACTGAACCAAAGTAGAAAGAATCAAGGAAAAATAATATGACAAACAGAGTTTCAAACATGTATGGGACTAAGCATATACACATTATGGATTAAAATAGCATACATATTCCACAACAAATAAATTGAGGACCATCCACGAGCTTCATAAAACGCATCAATATATTCCTCATCCTCATCAACCAATCCAAACTCCCGCATGCCCCCTCGAAAGTAGGATTGACAACACCATAGAGTGTCCTAACATCCACATAAGAACACGGTCTTCTGACCCTAAGCAACTAAAGCCGCAAATAATAAAGCTCTCGAAAAGATTCAGGACAGTACACCAAATGACAACACGCCTGACACATAGGTTTCCAACAACACACGCCCGATATCATACCCACTTTAAAGGAAACTCTGGATAGGTTAACTCCCTTGCATCAGGACAAATCTTATCCAGCCCAAAAACTTAGAGGATACTTACATTTAAAGCAATCCCATACACAGAAACAAAATACCAACTCCAAATGGTCCAATAAACAATCAGCAAAACGCCTGTTAAGAAATTCCAGTAAGCAACAACGTAAAATATAACTTAAGAAACAAACTATTAATTCGCAACTGTCTTACATACTTCAGTGAACTAACTTTAAAGCTAAAGAGCCCGAACAACTTCCTTGACAATAAGCAACAATGCGTGTGTAGTACATATAGCCTTCACTTGATCTACGAACAAATCCTATTTGCATGGAAATCATAAACATGTGTCAGACATTAAAGAGAACATAAACAATCGATTAACTACAAAGAAAAAAAATAAAGAACAACTAAATTTATTGACCATGCCGAATGAGCATAATGCTGACAAACTACCTATACAGAAAAATCGATAGAGTATATTTTTTATGAACCAAAGTAAAACCTAAAAAAATATATATATTTCTTTTGTATGTTAAAATCGCTGAACATACATAGGTTTGTTGAGAAGTTAGGGTTTAAAAATTAACAATAATAACCAACAATAATATCTTGTTAGCGAATGGACATATATCGAACAACAGCCTAATCTAAATCGCAGAACACGTCACCTGATAGAATGGTCCCAGTTATGGAGTCAATCAATGTTGATCAAGAACAAAGATGAGAACACATTAATACTTCACTTAAGTTAAACTGATGCTTAAATACAAAACAAAAAAAGAATAAACTAACTAATAGGTGAAATCATGGAAAATGAAACGCAACCCTAAAATAAAGAAACAATCCCACTAAATGAAAAACAATACGAAAATAACTAAAACTTTTGAAATAATCGATTTGGTCTTCGTGGAGATAGCCACATCATCTTCTTCCTTAATTTGTATCTTTTTAATACTCCCATCCTCAAAAGAACCTTGTCCTCAAGGTTCAACACCAAGCATTCACTGGTCTAAACTTCTTATCATGTAATGGTGGTGGTTTACCAGCAACTGGTTCTTCTTGGCTGAGCTTCATCGGTGTTTTTCATGGCTTTGGGATTGGACACTTCAGAGCAGAGTTGGCACGCCAATATGTCCAAAGCCGCTCAATAAAGGCTTCAACATAAAATACATCAATGAATTATTTGAATGATTCGTTGTTCCTGGGTCATGCGTAACGATTTTTCCTTTTTTACAAATCTATTGCAAACATCCTTTTAATTGT